TTTATATAAAAATACCACCCCGAAAGATGGATGCGGCATTTATTAATAAAAAATTTAATTTTTATTAATTAAAGTGCCACCCCGAAAGTCAGATGCGGCATTTATTAATAAAAAATTTAATTTTTAATTATTTATATTAAAATGCCGCCCTAATAGTCGGATGCGTCATTTATTAATAAAATATTAATTTTTATTAATTTTTTATATTAACATGCCGCCCCGAAAGTCAGACGCGGCATTTATTATTAAAAAAAATTAATTTTTAATAATAAAATGCTGCCCCGAAAGTCAGACGTGGCATTTATTATTAAAAAAATTAATTTTTAATAATAAAATGCCGATCCGAACGTCAGAGGCGGATTTTTTGTTAAAAAAACAAAATTGTTGTTTTTTTTAACATTAAAACGTCGTTCCGAACGTCGGAGGTGGTTTTTGTTAAAAAAAACAACAAAACAGTTGTTTTTTTAATATTAAAACGCCATTCCGTACGGCGGAGGCAGATTTTTGTTAAAAAAATTTTTTGATCCGTTAGATACGGATACGGATTTGGATTTGTCAGATTCAGATACAGATTCGGATTCGGATTTGTCAGATTCAGATCGAATCGGATTCAGATTTTTCGGATCAGATTGAATCAGATTTTGCCCAAATCTGATCTGATCCGATCCGTTCGGAACACTAGTCCATCATATTAATATACATTTCTGGCGCTGGTATTGTCAGAGGAAATGCAAGTCGTCTACGAGGTCTATTCTTTGGAATTTCTTGAATGCATTCTCTTTCTATGCTTTGTAATTGACTTTGATCATTCGATGCATCTCATCTGATCCAAGAAAATCCCATTTAAATAATGATGACAATTTTCTTCTTCCAGTATCTGTAGCACTTGTATTAAGATTTATAGCCAGTGTTTTAGGTTTTTTTTGTTCAAGTCTGGGAATTTGAAGAAACTCTGAAATTTTATTATCAATAATCTCAATTGCTTTAGGTATTAGTTGTGGATGATCTTTAGTAACATGATATTATATTTCGTTCGTTATGGATGATGATACTTTAAACGTATTATCAGTAGGTTTGATGCTTTTTTATAATCTTAAGGGCTTACCAAACCAAATATATGACCCAGCTGAACATTTTGTAGGTGAATAACGTACACGACCATTGACTTTTGCATTTGATCAAGCTACTTTACAGAAACCTGTGATTTGATAATAGGCTTTTACGTAATTACCATCAAATCACAGCAAATTAGTTTTCATCTTGTGACAACGTGATTAGTGACGATCTAGTAAAAAATGGTAAGCTTCTGGATAGCCAGCTGTTTCAAAATTGTTACGAAGTACAATCTTGATCTTTAAAAAATAGCCTATAACATCGAAAGATAACCGATAAAATCAATTCAA